ATATATATATATATATATATATATTATTCATTCTTAGCTTGTCATAATTTTTCACAATTTTCCAGGGGTTTGCGAACATTAGTTTGAGAAACCCTTTGCAGGAACGCCATTTCAGTCCATCTACATGTGAAAAAAATAAATACAGTTTAATTTATAGACAAAAGTTATGTGTGTTTTCAGGATGGCCCCTCTGGTATCCAGTCCATAGACAGCTGTGAGTTCATCTGGGAAGCTGGCGTTGGATTTGCTCAGACTCCGCCTCTCAATCACACCCATGACTTTAACAGGTCAGAGATCTGCCCGCTTCATACTGCCCTGTCCCACTTTACATCACTTATATGTACTTATTATACACTCTGACCTAGATACAGCTGGTAGTAGTTTGCATGTGACCACATTACATTTTATTATAAATCTAATCCATCCTGATGTGTACACGACAACTGTTAAGGACCGCCTACTCACCTGTCAATTGTCCACTGCTCTAAAAGTTGGAGAACTTTTGAAATTTAGAGAAGTACTCTGCTGTTCAAAAGTTTGGGGTCAGATTATTTTAATGTTTTTGAAAGAAGTATTTTATGCTCACCGAAGTTGCATTTATTTGATCAAAAAGTAGTAAAAACAATGATTTTGTGAAATATTATTGCTATTTAAAATAGCTGTGTTCTATGTGAATATATGTTAGAATGTAATTTATTTCTGTGATCAAAGCTGAATTTTCAGTATCATTACACAGTCTTCAGTGTCACATGATCCTTCCGAAATCATTCTAATATGCTGATTTGCTGCTCAAGAAACATTTCTGATTATGCAATGTTGAAAACAGTTGTGCTGCTTCATACTTTTGTGGAAACCATGATACTTTTTTTCCCCCCGGATTATTTGATGAATAGAAAGTTCACAAGCATTGCATTAATCTGAAATGGAAATCTTTATAAATGTCTGCTCTCATTTTTGATCCGTTTATTGCATCCTCCTTGATGATTACAAATATTAAGTATTTATCTGTCTCTCTCTCTCTCTCTCTCTCTCTCTCTCTCTCTCTCTCTCTCTCTCTCTCAGGACTGAGTTGTTTA